GATATAATATTGATTAAGTCGCTCTCCTCGTGGGGGAGACAGACACAAATAATTCCCCACAATGAATTTGGGAAATAATGAAAGGCACATAGGAAAGAACCACTACACCCACTCAAGGAATCAGGAAGTGCTGTATTTATTGATTGCTTATTATGTGCCAGATGCTCTTCTAAGTGATTTACATTCATTCATTTCATACCCACAACAACCCTTTGCAGCAGGTACTATAATTACACCCATTTTATAAATGAGACACAGAGAGGCTAAGGAAATTGAACAAGTTATGAGCTAGTAAATGGAGAGGGCAGAATCTGAGTTCAGGCAGTCTGGCTCCAGAGATGAAGCTCTTAACTACAATGCTATCTCGCTTTGAGAGAAGAATATGGTGGATGAGCTGAAGGCCTCTCACGGACTCTAGTTAACACTAAACTTATATTCAAGCTCTCTTGGTCTATGACCTCAAGTATATCCTGACAATTGATATACGGGGGACTATACACAGTGGCAGACATATTGGCCCAGTGGGCTTTCTAGGAAAGTTTTCTGGAGGTGCTTCCTTGGTTATTGGTCTGTGTAAGCTGAGCCTACCTGAATCAAGAATATCCTGAAATCCCCTTTGCCTGGACCTGATAACGGCTCTAAGAATCTATGGGTGAGTTCTCTTCACTTTAGTCTTAAATAGAAGTAGAAGAGGGCATGAATGAAAACCACAGAGCTTCAAAGAATAACAGGATCCCATCCAAATATTCTGCGAGTTGGATGCAGGAGTACTGCCACTTACCTTTGGGCAAACATCTCTCTGGTTCCTTTTGGGGAACCATTTCAGGAACCCGCCTAAAGGGATCTTGTAGATCGATGGTGCTACATTCTGAGCACACACTGGTAGCATCGGACTTCTGCACAGCAGAACAAAGGAAAGAAAGAATCATTTACCTACACTCTCTTACTGTGGTCGTGCCTAATACCACATTCTATGACCTTTTGGGAATGAAACTAACTAGGGAAAGGCTTCTAGGTAGGAGGGGTGTCAAGAAAGTGTCCCCCTTGTTGGGTCCTTTTCTAAATGCTCTGACCAGCCCTGACTTCAGGAGAAAATTCTCTAATGGCTCTCCCCTGGTGAAGACATAGTATCTCAACATTTTCCTCCCTACAAATCATACCCTTGATCAGCTGTTTAACCCCAAATATGGAAACCAGATGATGAGGAGAAGGCTACTTTAGTGAGACTGGAATTTTCAGCTATGTCATCTCCTGGAATAATACGCCTACACCAGTGGTTCTCATTGATTTTGCCCTCCTGGAGACATTCTAGCAATCTCTAAAGACATTTTTGATTTTCGCAACTGGGGAATGCCACTGGCATCTAGTGAAAAAGGCCAGGGATGCAACCGAACATCCTGCAATACACAGAATGGCCCATCACAACAAAAAAAGTATCCTGCCCCAAATGGCATAGTACAGAAGTTGAAAAACCCTGGCCTAGACCCTTGCTTAAGATGTGATTCCAGAAGTTTTCTGTACACTAATCTTTATATTTTTCTGAGAACACTCTGGGAAAATTACCTTTCGGGGATTCTGTACTGACAGATAAGCATCATCTTCAGGGAACACGTCAATTTCCACACTTTGAACTCTTGGTCTGGCAGACTTGGCCCCCTGATGGAGCTCATGGGCCTGATACAGAGACGCACAGAGTATAATTAATATTCCTCCTGGATATCTCGCTTGAGATGAAACAAGTTTGACTTCTATTTGGTTTTCTGTTTGCCGTGAAAATTGTGACATTATTACTCTTTTCTTTTTACTTTTAAAAACTGTTTCTGGAAAAACTCAACATAAAACAAATCTGGGTTACCTAGTGTAAGAAACAGAACAAAATTTACCCAGAAGCCATATAATCAAAATAATATGGTTCTGGTACCAAGTTCATCAAATAATTCAGAGGTTAAAAATTACTGTGTCCTGTCACTTCAATGACTGAATAATAAATTATTTAATAAATGGTACTGGTATAATTAGCTACTCCTGAAAATTTAACACAATGCCAAAATATAGTAAAAATAAAATACATAATTCTGGTATATAAATAGATGAGTAAAAATATTAGAAGAAAAATTTGGAAAATGATTTTTTAACCCTTTGTGGTATAAAGGGTTGGCTTAGCAAAACAGAAAAGGCATACAGAAAAATATGAAACTATATCACTACATAAAAATAAAAAATAAATTTTGTCTGATGACCTGCAGGGATACCCAGATAGGACATGTGAAGTCACACTTTAGGTGACGGTTTTCCAAAAAACCATGTGAGGGTTTCTGACACAGTAAGGTCATAATTTAAAAACACTTCTCCCTTTTGAACACATGCAATAATATATACACACACACACACACACACACACACACACACACAGGTAAATAAATATACCTATGGACCAGACACAGAACAGAAATATAAAGTAGTAACGCTTTAAAGCACATAGTAGGTAATGGTGACTAAAAGTGCCCCCTATGAGGAAGGGAACCAGAACTATGTCCCAGGCTTAAAACTGTGGGCTGGCTTGAAGTTCTTGCATTTAAGAGAGAAAGTCAAAATAAGCTGTGGCCAGTGCCTTGGAATTATGATCATACAAAGTTGCATACCTACAGAGGCAAGAGGAAAAACAGCGTCAGAAATAGGGCCTGGACAAAGGTACCCATTGGTTCAGTGACTGGATAGGCAATATGCCTACGATCATTATTCGAGAAGCATGATGGCAATATAAGACTTGGTTCTGAAATCGAAGGGTCCACTGAAGATATGACAGAACTTAGGCTGCAAAGAGAGGGACAGATCTTCCCACCAAAGATGAGTTTTCAAACTAACACTCCAAAATATGTGAGAAGACACACATAAGATAAGTAACCCCTCCAAAATTAACTACCAGGAGGTGAATTTACTCAAGAAAAAAATGAAAGTTATATAATAATCTGAAAGTGTCTTTAAAATTTATAAGTTTAGGACTTAATAAGAAATATGTAGAGTGTCACTTCCTGGATATTAGAATAAGGAGCTCAGTGGACATGGTCCCCAGGAAAATAAGCATAAATGGTAAAAAAATATATATATATATTAAAAAAAAATGTTAAGTCTCTGGAAATTGTCCTAAGGGCATACAGCAAGTGAAGAAACATTTATTCAAGGTAATCTGCAAAATTCAATAATAAAAACAGGAGTCCACGGCACTGGAATGACCTGCCCTCCCCCTCCCCAGCCCTCCACCCAGATCAGTTTGATGGAAGCTCCACCACGGGCGGATGTGACCAAGAAGATGGGTTTCCCTCCGCCCTCAGCTTCCACTCCAGGAATATGCAGCTCACCAGGAGGTGCAGGTCACCAGCTTTTCTTATTCCCTACAACACTGAGTTAGAGAGGCTAAATTCCTGGTGAATAGAGCCAGGGTGTTGGACTCCCTTTTTCAATCCAGCCTCTACTCATAGGACAGTGGCTCTATTCTAGGTTCAACAGCCTGAGAATACTGAGTCCCTGATCTTCTTCATTCCAGCTAGCTTTTAGGACAAAGGTTCCATACAGGAAGAGAGAAGCTGAGATGAGAGGCTGCTGCCTCTCCAAGGACCTGGAGTAGTGGCTAAAAGATTTTGCCCAGGGTGGGAGGCAATCCATAAAAAACAAGAGCTCTAAAGTGCTCCATAAAAGAACTGACTTTATTTTAAATATAATGTGAAGAAGTTCAAGACTAAGGGTGCCCTTGAAAACAATGGAGATTTTGATGGTAAGTAAATAACAAGAGACTGGAAGCACTTCTTTATCGAAGGCAACAGGTTAAACCATAGGTCAGCAAATTCACCACAGAGAACCATGGAAAGAGACAGCTAAAAAGAGTCTCTCTGGGGTCAGAACAAATCTCAAAGACTGGCCTTAAAAGTACCCCTTCCTGAATTTAATTAGAGCACACTGTGGAGCAATTAATTCCACGTGGTGTTGTCAAAAACAATAGAGCAATTAGTCAACTTCACTAGCTATTAGGGAAATGCAACTCAAAGCCACAATGAGCTACCACCTCACACCTGTTAGAACGGCTGTTATCAACAAGATGAGTAATAACAAGTGTTGGAGAGGGTGTGGAGAAAACGGAACCCTCCTACACTGCTGGTAAGAATGTAAATTGACACAGACATTATGGAAAACAGTATAGAGACGCCTCAAAAAATTAAGAATAGAATTATATATGACCCAGCAATCCCTCTTCTGAGTACATACCCCCAAAATTTGAAAATGTTTATCTGTAAAGATGTATGTATCCCTATGTTCACTGCAGCATTATTCAGGGTGGCCAAGACATGGAAACAACCAAAGTGTCCTTCAATTGATGATATGATAAAGAAGATACGGTTATTTAAGAGTGTTTTGTTTAATTTCCACATATTTGTGAATTCTTTGTCTCCCCCTCCCTCTCCCATAGAACTCCACTAGCAGTTCCATCTACCCAGCACATCACATCCAACTGTGAAGAAACAATTACAGGGCATACTAAAAGGCAAAAAATGCAGTTTGAAGAAACAGATTAAGCATCAGAACCAGACTCACTGTGGCAAACATATTGAAATTATCAGACCAGGGTTTTCAAACAACTATGATTAAAATGCTAAGGGCTCTAATGGGTAAAGCAGACAGTATGCAAAAACACACAGGTGATGTAAGTAGAGATGGAAAAGGTTAAAAGAATACCAAAAAATAGGCTCGAGATCAAAAACGTTGTAATAGAAATGAAGAATGCCATTGATGGGCTTATTAGTACACTCGACCCAGCTGGGGAAAGACTCTCTGAGCTTGCAGATATCGCAGGAAAAACTTCCAAAACTGAAAAGCAAAAAGAAAAAACTTGGGGGAAGAAAACGCAAAACAGAATACCCAAGACCTGTAGGCAACTACAAAGGTGCAACATGCGTGTAATAGGAATCGACAGCCTCATCTCCCACCGCTCGTTACCCATGATCTCCTCAACTGATCCCTGCAGAGACTGAGTTTGTTCCCACCGCTGTCTCTTTTCCTATGCGGTTCGCTTCACTGTCCACACTCCCTTTCATCCAATCCAAATTACTGTAGGGCTCAACCAAAGGCACTTGATTCCCTCGTTGCCCCAGCCCCCTCTGGTCTTGCTTCCCTCTGAACTCCTCTGGCACCTCCCATCAGTGCCACATGTGCAAGACCACGGTTAGAACAAGCCCTGGATTGTGCATGTGGGTACTGAGGGGCCACCACATTTTATACCCTTATTTTCCCTGCATCGTGCAACCCATGCCCTGGGGCAACTCTAGCTCTGTACAAACTCTGAGTCTGTGTATGAACCTTCATACCTGTTTTCCAGCCTCAGGTTGCACAATATCTTCCTCAGGAGATTCAATATCTTCTTCCTCTGCAAGTGGGGCCAACCACGTCCCATCCAGCCCAACATCCAAGGTCTTTGGTGCGGAAGTTGATACACCCAGCTCCTCCCAGGTCTCTGGGCCTTTTTTCATCTCTGCGACCAGGGGAATGACATCTTTGCTCTCCACAGAAGAGCCTCCTGTCACTTCTTTTTGCTTTGGTAAGTTCTGCCTACTGCACCCCTTGCGACAAAAGTGCCCAACAGTGCATATCACAAAACAAAAAGCACGATGGAACCGGTCCAGTGCTAACTGGACTTTGGTTTTCCTGGCCTCTCCTCCCCCTTTTCCATCTCTCTCCTCATTGCTGAAGGAATTGAGCAGCAAGGCAATGAATAGGTTGAGTACCTGGAGAGGGGCACGAGGAGAATGGACAATTTAGCAAAGGCAAGGATACAGTAGATTTCCAGAGCAATCTCTCCCCCAAGACCCAAATCAAAGTCAAACAAGAATCCTATGTCCTTCTACCTCCCAAGAAAGTGCATCTGTAAAATAAATAAAAGGATCTCGAGAAGATTGAGGAGTAACAGAGATAGCAAGGTAAGACCAAAACAATTGAAGTTAAAGGGTACAGATAAATCCAGTTTTTCTGCATATAAGCAACATGTATTGTAGACTCTGGCCAGGGTAAAACAGAACAGTGTAACCATGTGGCAAAATCAAAAGTGTATATTCCTTAGGAATCAGCCAGGCTCATGAGCTTGGATTTTTGTTGGAACTGCCCACAGGGACATGGGTCTGATGTCTAAGACCACTGTGGGGTCCTCTGCTGTTGGCACAATTTGAGGGATGGTATATTTTGTACAGGCTGCATGGGTCCTGCTGCCCAAACTGCAGTGAGGGATTGGGGCTGAGCCAGAGGGATTTGAATCAAATTTCCAACTCTCCTGTTGCAGCACATATCACTTTAAATTCAGATCATCTCAACAGCTTCCTACTTAGGATTTTTGCCTACCCTTACATATCCCTCATTCATCATCTTTACCTCTTCAAACTTCTTTGTTTGTGGCTCTCACCAGCTCAGACATGTATAGCCTTCGGAGAGAAGTGTCTTGTGGGTATGCATGGGTCTAGTCACTTGTCTTCAAGAAGATGAGAATCCCCAAGTCTGGCTCTTTGCTCAAGCTCTCCTCTATCTGCTAAGTCCTCCTTGCCTCTTAAGTGTCATTCTCAAGTGCCATATCTTATACAAATCCTTTCTTAATGCTCCCTTCCCACTCCCATAGGTGACAGCTTGCTCTTCTGAACTTTTGTATCATTTATTGTCTCTCTATGCCACTTATTATGTACTTAGGCTAAAACTACCGTATTTGCCGGCGTATAAGACGATTTTTTGGCCCTGAAAAATATGCCTCCAAGTGGGGGGTCGTCTTATACGCCAGGTACACTTCAGATAGACTGCCCATAGTGCTTGCCCCGTGCCATAGTGGCCTCCCGATGCCCGCCCACTTCATTCCACATACCGTTCAGGCATCAGCAGCGCTGCTGGGTGTATGCTCGGCTGTGTGCGATTTTGCGAGTGTGGTAAATTCGGGTTACCGTATATTTCTTTACATATGCATTGAAGATTCGCGATTTTGCGCTATCATGGTGCCTGTTAGAATGTTGAAGAGCTCGCACTTGCACACTAGTGAGGTCCCAGGGAGATGCTGATGCAAGGGTGGACCGGACTGCTATAGTGACAGGACGGGCAAACAGGGAGCAGGGACCAATCAAATCAGGCTTTGTATACAGCCAACAGCCAACCACAATACTGCACCATTGTACAGTACAGCATAGAAAATGTCGACCAGTCAAACCCCTATCATCCCTATCATGGCACCAGCCAAAAGAAAGAAGTATGATGCAAATTTTAAACTGAAAGTTATAAACTTTGCTAAGGAAAATAATAACTGTGCTGCTGCAAGACAATATGGAGTAACAGAAAAGATGGTTCGGGACTGGAAATCAAATGAGAAAGCATTAAAGAGTATGCCAAGGGGTAAGTGTGCATTAAGAAGAGGCACCCCACACTGGCCAGAACTCGAAAAACATGTAGCAGACATGGTGGCTCAACATCGCCAAAACGGTTATGTGGTGACACGAAATACAATACGCTTGTTTGCACTTCAGTGGGCCAAATCAAATCTGATATTGTTTTACCTTTTATTTGGTGTGTGGAAGGTGTGCGGAAGAGGGGGTAGTCTTATACGGCGAGTATATAACAAACTCTGTATTTTGAGTGGAAATGTTAGGGGGTCGTCTTATACGCCCAGTCGTCTTATACGCCGGCAAATACGGTACGTACTGTGTGCAGATACCTAATATTTGCACCACAGCCCCAGCTCGATTCTGAAGAATCTTGTGCCCAGGCATCCCTGTGTGTCTCCTGTCTCTTCATAACCTCACTCGTGTACGCCTAAACATCTATGTCTCCAACTGCAAGTAACAGGCTCAAGGCAGCTTACATAATAAGAAAATGTCACATACCCAGAAGTTTGGAAATAAAACAGGGATCCAGTTATGACAGGAAGATAGGTTTGTTTTGCCTTTTCACTCTACCTTCCTCAGCTCTGGCTTTGTCTTACACTAGTTCTTCTACTTGCATAATGTTTGCAGTTCTACCAGCAGTCTCAGGCATAAGACAGCCCAGGGCAAGTAAAAGGATGATTTCCGCCCCCTCACCCCACCTTTTTTTTTCTTCAGAATAAGAAACCTTCCTCAGTAGATATTCCTTTACGTCTTATTGGCCACATTAAGTCACAAATCCCTACCTCAGCCAATCACTGGCAAAGAGAATATGATTATCTCAGAATAATTACCTGGATAATTAGCTATTATCGCCCAATAGCTATTGGGGTCAGTTAACATGAGCATTATGTGACAGAGAGGTTTTGTTTCATGTTTACCATATTTTCCTCAAACCAAATTCAAACACAGATTATTAATATTATATAGCATTAAGCTTACTCTGTGTACAGTAAGAATTTCACTAGTGAAGTGTTGCAAAAGAAGCTAAGACATTTGTTCAGTCTGTGTATTTTGTTTTTAAAAGCATCTAAGACACTCACCACAAGTTTTCCTATCACCATGATCAACAGAAAGACAACAATGCACAGTGAAGTTTTATCTTCTTGCATACATTCCCACATGTTTTCGATCCATTCCCCACAGAGGATGCGGAATACCACCAGAAAGGAGTGGTAGAAATCCCCCATGTGCCAGCGTCGCAAACATGAGCTGGCAGGGTCACAGGAACTTGTATTATTTCTTGTGGCATTGTATTTAGAGCCAAACAGCTGCATGCCAACTACTGAGAAAATAAAGATCACAATGGCCAGGACCACGGTCAGGTTTCCGAGGGCTCCCACGGAGTGGCCAATTATCTTAATCAGTGTGTTCAAAGTTGGCCAAGATTTGGCTAACTTGAAGACCCTCAGCTGTAGAAACAGACAACGAACAAAAATGGAAGAAAGGCCAGTTGAGGACGAGTTCCATCTGTTCAGCTATAAAACAAAACAACATGTTCCCATTCCCAAACCACAGCATTTATGACTTTCAAAAATCTTTTCAAAGCCAAATCCATCCTCAACATAGTCACCAACCCCATGTCCCAATCTAATACTAACCTAGCTCTACTTTTTGCTTTTAAAATGGAAATATTTTGTTCTAATTATTTTTAAATGATAAAGACTTTGGGATTATGATCATGGAATTGAGCCTACATGCTCATTATATAAAATATATAGCCGGGGTCGAACACTCAGGCCAAAGGGCCAAATCCACCCCGTTGCCTGGTTTTGTATGGGCTGAGAGGTAAGAATGGGTTTTTTTTTTACATTTTTAAATGGAAAATAATCAAAAGAATGGTATTTTATTACACATGAAAATCGTGTGAAGTTCAAATTTCCACATTCATCCATTTTTACTGTAACACAGCTACACCCATTGTCAAATGTCTACGGCTACATTTGTACTACAATGACAAAGCTGAATGGTTTTGACAGAGGCCGTGTGACCTGTAGGGCTGAAGATATTTACCCTCTGGCTTTTACAGAAATAGTTCCCTGAGTCCTGCATTATATAACTTAGGTAACAAGTTTGAATCTAAACTTTATGGCCATGATGAGTGTCATGTGATGTTTTGTACCCAGGAGAGAAAAGATAATCAGCATTCAAGACACACACACACTTTTTTCCAAAGAGACATTTTCTCATGGAAACTTACAGACATTTCAAGAGACAATAACCTTAGAGAAAACATAGCATCTAGTTTCATAGGTTATTTCTTATATTAACCTTCAATGTAAACCAATGGTTTAACTCTGAAGTACGATCCTGTAAAGTACCAACTATTTGGGGATGGAAATATTGCAGGTGAGTAAGTCTTATGTCCCAAGAGAAGGACCACCATCTACTGAGAGTGGAGCTGAGAGAAATTGTGGGTCTTGTCTCATATGCAGACAATGCCACAGAATTCCTCACTTTAGCACAGGGCTGTAATAAGTCCAAACAACAGTAAAATGAATGTAATTTTGCTCACTTGAGCACCAGTTACACTTTAGGTGAGCAGACTAATAATGTCTGACTCTGAGTGGTATGATCTCCTAACATATCTCAAGTATCAAATGTACATTTAGGTAACTGAATCAAATGTCTTACTCTATAGGCTTAGAAATCCTATCCATGCCAAATTAATCTTTGGAAGGGGACAAAAGGCCACCTTTGTGGTTTCCTGATTCCCCTCTCAGATGTGATTTCTCTATAGCCTTCTATTTATATCTCTTGTGGGCTCGGTCATAGTCGACTTTGCCTTGTGGTCATTTCTGGGCCTGTCTTGTATCATCCTGGAACTGCAGACTCCTTGAAGACAGTGCTTTCCTCATCTCCGAGCTTCCCCTGAGTCAGCTTATAGCAGGTACTCTGCAAAGGTTGGCAGAATGCCTCAACGGTTAGTGATGAAGGGCAAAGTGTACAGAACAGAAATGTGGCACTGGCAGCAACGAGGAGGGACTTGTGAGACAGCTTCTGCCGGCAGCACCCGTCCCTTCCTGGGCTCTGTAGTCTAAGCTTTCTTGGTAAGCTCAGGGGTGAGGGTGCCTGGCTCAAAGCTCTGTAGGGGAAGAGATCGCTGGAGCGATTGTACGCAAAGCAAGGAGCAGAGTCCTGAAACTGTAAGACACAATTTGACATCTGGTTGCCTAAAGGGTCATCATGGCGGGGTTGGGGGTAGGGAGGGAGTAGGGGTTCCGCTAAGAGAAGACCCCCTGGACTTCCCAAGGGTGTTAAAGACCCGGATGGGAGGAGGATTGCAGTTTTGGTTCTCGGGTTAAGGTAAAATGTGGTCAAGTTTAATCCAAAATTGCCACTGAACTCACTCTAGGTTCTTTTAGATCCTGGCTGCTAAGTCATTCAGTAAAATAAGAAAGTAAGTGCCTTACCACTCTTAAGGAACGGAAAACTGTCACACTGACTTCGCTCATCATCACATCTATAATACTGAGAAGAGCAACAATGGTATCAAAAATGTTCCAGCCGCGGCGAAAGTAGTAGTAGGGGTCGAGCGCAATGATTTTTAGGCACACTTCTGCCATAAAAACACCCGTGAAAACCTACAGTGAGACAAAGAAAAATGAGAAAAGGAAGCTACCTCTCCTTGGACATACGCTTTTCAGGATGGCCCCAGGGAACTGCAGAGGTTACAAAGAAATAAAATGTATTCTCATGGCTGTACCATATACCCTAATATCCACAACAAAGAAACATTTACTGCTGTTCATGAACCTCACTCTACCTTTGCTCCCTTCTCCACCCCCTTCCATCGCCCAGTCTAATGTTAACCCAGCTCACAACCGTCAGGATGGAGAAGAAATATTATGTTTCATTCCATGAAAAGTAAGGCAACATTGGCTTCTTGGTAGATGGCAAAAGGATAGAAAGTGTCAATCAATTCCTCTGAGATCTCTTTAAAATATCAATAAAAACTCCCAAAAGGGGGAACGACACAACAGCTCTGAAAAATTAAAGATAAATATCTCCCATAAGCCAGAATCCAGAAGGAGTTCACCTAACCACTCAGTCTCAACACCCTGAGCAGAAAACAAAATTTTAAAGGGGCCCAGAGCAGAGAATTGAAAAACACGACCAGGGACAGAAAAATGTCTTTGAGCAACTCAATTAGAGGATAAACCCTAGGCTGATTATGGTTGAAAGGAGGATTAGTGAGTTGGAATATAATCCTAAAAACTCACTCAGGGTGCAGGGCTCTTCACTCCAGAACAAAATATCAAAGAATTAAAAGGAGGGGTAAGAGTTTAAAAGAGTGCTAAATTATGTGTTTTCCATGGGCAAAAATAATTTTTTGTCTTATCTTTGATTATTAAGTACAGACTTAAGGAATTTGCAAAATGTTAAATAAGTTGTAGCCAAATTCAAAACTAAATCTATCTTCTGTGTCTTTGCAGAAGATAAAGCAAAGCATTTCTTCATAGTAAATAGCACATTCTCCATCACACACACACACACACACTCAAATAAATAGTAATGAGAAAAACCATAGTATGAAAATTATAAGGGGATGTAAAAAAGGTTAAAGCCTTTTAAAATGTTGTCAATTATAAGACTATCCTCTCCAGTTCTGGGGGGAAAAAAATCCCACAAATGATTAAATCTTCCTTTTAAAAGTGACAGATGATCTGTGTTTTTTTTATTTTTTTTATAGATGTAGAGTATTTCTTTTCTTTTTTTTTTTAAGATTTTATTGGGGAATTGGGGGAGGGGAACAGTGTTGGGGAATTGGAGAAGGGGACCAGCCGAGTTGTTGTTCTTCAGTCTTCGTTGTGGAGGACGCCAGTCGCCATCTGGCTGCCCATCGGCAGCTCATGGCCTCTAAGCTCAAGGTGCTGTGTTCAATCTTAGTTGCGGGTGAGCATAGCCACCATCCCATGTGGGAGTCGAACCAGCAGCCTTGTTGTTAAGAGCACACGCTCTATTCACTGAGCCATCCGGGCGGCAGCTCAGCTCAAGGTGCCAAGTTCGGTCTTAGTTGTGGGCAGGCATAGCCCACTATCAAATAGGCAATCTTGTTGTTACACCAGCTGAGCCATCCTACCACTTGTTGGCAGCTCAGCGACAGCTCAGCTCGGGCGCAGCATCACTGGCTCATGTGGGAATCGAACCAGCAGCTCTGTTGCTCAGAACTCACCCTCTTAAGCCAACTCTTAACCCATTGAGCCACTTGGCCGGCCCCAGATGATCTGTTTTTAGTGCATGGCTACACGAATGTAATTTTTCTCACCTGAGCACCAATAAAAGGTCAGGACGGTTCTCCTTATAGACGGTCTGTATCTAAGTTCTTTCAGTTCATCTAAATGCTTTTAATTCAATTACTATTTATTTTGAAAATCAATAAAATAAAATGACACGAGTTAAAAATAAAAGGATAGGTGAAGATAAATCCAGGATGGGCAAATGAAAAAAAAATATCAAGGGTGGCAAAGAAAATTCGAAGCTTATCTTTTCCCTTTAAACATTGCCGCCTACTCTGCCCAGTGCCACACCCAGTACCTAAAGGCACGTAGTGTTGCCTGTTCTGGTTCTTTGTGCTGGACAGACCCCCGTCTCCTTTTGACACACTCTTCTTTCTCCTCCTGTCTCCTTTGGGATGTAGGTGTCCAGCCCTACAGCCTCCCTGATGCCTTGGGACCATTGGTTTTGCAATCCAATTCAATTGTTATTTGTGGCTTCTTGGGAGCTCAGTGTACTCCCCTGATTTGAGTAATCCTGAAGCCTAGAGAGCTCGCTTCCAATTGCAGTCCCACAGAACTCTACAGGCCATCTAAATCCTTCCTGGCCCAACCATCAGAGGAGAGACGTTGGGATGTGTTCTTTGGAACTCAAGGTTCCCAGGCCTCCCTCCACCACCACCAGGGCACAGTAGATGGGGTGGCCACCAGCTTTGCATGGTGTGTCTAGGGACTAGCACACTCGGGATGGAGGCACAAGCTACAGAGACAGCTCTACATGTTTCTCATCAATTTTCAGGAGTTGGGGTGCAGCTGCTGCCTGTGTCCTCAGACACCAACAATGTCCCTGTCTCTTCTGCTGCCTCTGGGGAGAGTGAAGAAGAAAGTCACTTAATTGGCCAGCTTTTGAATGTAAAATGCAGCTTAACTTCTACACCCAGAATGCCTAGTCAGGGGAAAATCTGAGGGAGGCTTTGGTCATTTCCCACAGTTGGACCAGCTGATGACGTGACGGACAAACCACCTTTGCAATTGTGAAGCCCTGTCCATGGAGATGACTCCGGGTTCTTTGGGTATCTTCTGGAACTTAGCCAATAACTCCATCCACCAAGAGGTGCTGAAAGATGACTGCTGACTCCACTGAGGCAGGAAACGTGGCCCTGAGGGTATAGGATTCTGCTTCCAAGTGAAACAACATTGCCAGCCCATTTTTGGAGGATATCTCAGCAGGAGACAGCTGAATATAATGGCTTGGAGCCCAGAAGACCCCGCCTGTTAGCAGGTACTGTGTGTGTTAGGTTTATCATGCAGCATGGACTCTAATCCAACCCATGTACAACCACAGGGCACCTTTTCCCAAAGGCAGTATGGGGAAAGGAATTTACACGCAGACTGTCTATAAAGAGAACCACCCTGGCCTTTCACTGCTATCTCCTTGTAGCCCTGCTCCTCCTGGGAGGGATGTGGGACTGAGGATGACACGGTACCTGTCTCCAGTTCTACACCATCCTAAACTCGATGCATAGAAGTAGCTCCATGGACCAACTCCTGATTCAGTAAGTACAGTGGGTTTTCATCAATGTAAAGAAATGAATTTAAAAAATACATGCATCCATCCAAATGTCCATCTATCCATCCATCCATCATCCATCCATTTATGCATACATACATACATACATACATACACACATACATATATACATACTGCCTGGAAATACTCTGCAATGCTAAAAAACGATCATCTTTCTAGTAGGACCATGGGAAATGAGTTTCTTCTTTCCATTTTATTTGTATTTTCCCTTATTTTTAAACTCAAAAAAAAAGAGCATGTAATACCCTTTTTTAAGTTGGAAAAATAAACAAAGCTTTAAGAAGAAAGGGCTAGACATTCTGATAAGATTTGTAACCCATTAACTCATTAGCTAATTAGGGTAGAACATTCAGTGGGTAATTATTTGTTATTTCTGATATTTGGGAGACTAATTTTCCCTTGGGAAAAAAATGCCTCCTGCAGGATCTACGAATTAAAGTGAACAGTTCTTGAAAAGTCTACTCTCCTATCTTAGTTTGTCCAATTTAGCTGGGACTAGGTCCATCCAATGAGAAACACACTGAAGCGGGCTCAAATCTAGAACCCTACCCTTACCCCCTCCACTAGCTCCAGACACCCCCTTTAAGGAGTGAACCTCCCACAGTGCCAGGCCTTGGCTCATCTTTCCAGGGGAATAATACCTAGTAATGGCAGCCACATTATTTTGTGACAAATGATGTCATCAGTAGCACCAGGGACCATGGCACTCATTACCATGGGCCTCTGGATATAGTTAATGTTTTCTTAATTATCCCAAATAGCTGACCTTTTAAGATGTCTGGCTTCTGTCTTACCGCTGGATGACTCTTTAGTCATCTATTGGGAGACACCTTAAGAGACTAGAGGGGCCGACACAGGGGGCCCATGGAAAATTACCGGGTAAAAGCAAAACCCTAACAGTCCACTTAAGGGGACCAAAGTCCTGGTTAGGTTGGGCCACTCACAAAATGCTTAGACTTTGAAAGAGTTACAATTCAAAGTTTGAAATATGTTTTATATTTTAAAAAGCCTAAAGTTACCAGATTTCCAGTATACAACATTTTCTCAAAACTCCTATCCATTTTGTGATGCTCCAAGGCCAAGAAGACAGTATTGATTATGATGCAGATGGTGATGGCCAGCTCAGTAAAGGGGTCCGTCATCACCATTCTCAGGGCCTTCTTAAAGCACAGCCACTGGGGGCTACAGTTCCACACGAGGTATTTGGAGGCCAGGTTTTCCCCACATGGGAGGCAAGGCTCCTGCGATTTTTCTTGTTCTGGAGGAGAATGAAAGGGCAGTTGAGGAGTTATCTCTGACCCAGTTTGACTTCTCTCTGCCTGAGTGCATTCCTTCCTCCCTCTCCCCCAGGGTCTCTCGTGATACAACATGATCCGTCAAGAAGGGCACTGACTGGTGTAGACAGGTTTCCCACCTACAACTTCCATGTGGTAGAGTGAAGCACACTGAGTCTTTACACTTGTATTGAGCACCTGGGAACTGGACTGCACTGTTAGAGCTACAGATGGGTAAGTAAACTCTCTCTCTCGTGTAAACCCATGAGGGAGACAGACACAAGCCCAAGTTATTCTCACTCAAGGCAGATGATGCTGACAGCTGCAACAGAGGCACAGGGAGCCATCGGCGCTCAGGGGAAGGAGATATTGGGTTGTCGGAAAAGTCATGATGCATTTTTTGCAATGAAAAACGTAGAAAAAATATTTCATGACTTTTCCGACAGCCCAATAAATTCAGGCAGGCGCATCTACATGCACTGAAACAAATAGCGTTCTGTCAGCTGGTTGAGTTCGGGCCAAAAAAGCAGCTGCTTTTTTCCCTGGCACTATTTCAGGGACACATGCTGGCCAAATAAGGCAACGCAATAGACTCAAAAGTGCTCAGCAACCCATTTGACCCCATCCTTACAGGGACTTGAGTCCTGCCCTTGAGCACCAACCCTTAGTTGGATCCCTGTTACCTGCTGTTAATCAGGTCCAGATGGATACAGGTTGTCTTCACAGGCCTTCTATTGTCCTGTGACAATATGTCCAATGACAACTGCTACCTACTGAAAACGTCTGTCTTAATCTTCTTTTTCTGACTCTCCTTGTCACTGAGCCTTCCAATGACTGCCTGCCTAATCTGTGGGCTCTGTTTGTGCTCTTGGTCCCCAAGTCTAGCCAGTTCCCATACTACCCAAGTGCCAGCTCAGGGTGGGCCGACAGGGAAGGCCCACTTCTTCCAAACCATTTTGCTCACATGTCCCAAAAGGGCACAGAAAAGTACGCTTTGCAAGAAGTAAAACGAGTTGCAGAGGGTTTCTGTGGGGCTGAAGAGAGGAAGGATGAAAGGACATCATTGAAGTAGGCTCTCCTTTGGGCTGGGAGGCAGAACTTACCCTGCATAGTGATGGTGAGGATACTGACAGCACTCAGTGCCCTCTGCCTTTGGAAAGGGTCTCTGTGTTCTTCACAGAGGTCAACCGACAGGTTCTGGGACAGCCGTTTGGTTTGCTCCAGGAGACGTGGCTGTGAAAGAAAACATGGTGGACCTTCTAAGAAAAGGAGCCCACTCTCCTCAAAACTTCACAAACTACCTTGTTTCGATGCCACATGCAGCAGAGATGTTCAATATTGTGTGTAGGTTGAGTCATTGCAACATCATGGCATGACAAATTTTCAGTTTTATTTCATATTTAATAAATACAAGGAATATGGGGTGACCACTCATATTTCTTATGTATGCATATTTCTAGAGTCCTGCCTACAGAATCTTTTCTTTCTCTGTGATTTATTCATTATCAACAAAGACGGAACAAATTTTACAAAAATCAATGAGCAAAGGTTCAGGTTATGAAAGCAATCAAAACTCTAATTCGGAAACAATATTTGTGAGGGGCGGAAGTGGGAGATAATTTTAGAAGAGTGGATTGGGGCCAGAAAGTAAAGTGCCTTGAACAGCAAGCTGCCGAAATAGATTTTGAGACAGTAACTGAAAAGAGCATTCAAAATTAATATCAAAAGCCTATGTACTAAACCTCAAGCACTCTCTCAGGCTGTGCTGAAGAATTTATTGACTCTGCCTTACCTACAATTCTAAATTCTCTGGAAATTAAAGGACATAAACCCTCAGCTATCCAGGAAACTCGAGTATCCATAATGAGCTATTTTCCAAAAGCTCTGACCAACCAGGGCCCCAGAGGGAACTATCCTTTTGTGATAAGCTATTCTAAAGGCAGCGTGTGATCTTCCTATAACTATTTCCTATTCCACTTAAAGGGAAAAAACACGCTATACTAGGTGTCTGTGTCTTTGTCTTTGTGGAACAAGGAGGAATTTCCAAAATGTTTATATATATATATATATATATATATATATATATATATATATATATATATATATATATATATATATATATATATATATATATATATATATATATATTTGCAGTCTCTTCAATATGCTGTGGCCTGACAACAAAGAAGGCTCTAAGGCACTGGATCTTTCCATCACTCCATCACAGAATTGCTCACAGCAGTGGATGAAGTCCATCCATCTACTGCAAAGGCCACTCCACTCCCTTTCCCCACCCCATTCTCAGGCAGGCACGCCCATTTCATCTCCCTCCTACCTCAGGAAAGTGGCTCGAGTCATTATTCCCTGGCCTTTCTCTTCAACATTTTCCCTTCTTCTGACTTCTTTCTCCACAATTAAACACATTTAAACATCTCCCCCCATAATGATAAGAGCTTTTTTCTTCTTCTATGGCACATCCCACCACCCCCATAGCTTCATTTCTGCATATCCAACTCACTACTCAACATTCCTGCTTGGATGGCCACAGGTACCTCAAAACTGGCATGTCTAAAACTGAACTTGCCCCCTTCCCCATTCCCTAGAACATGTTCCTCTCCTGTCTCAGTAAATTACCCTCCACCAAGTCAGCCACCCGATCTATCAGCTGGGCATCATCCCTACCCATCTACATCTAGTCAATTGCCAAATTTTATCTTCTGTAGATCATTGTAATCTGTTCGTCTCTCTTCAACCTCCCTGCCCTACCCAGGGTTTAAGCCACTGTCATCTCTTACTTAGATTATTGCAACAACTTCCTAATTGGTTGATTCTAGTCTTGTCCTCCTCTAATCCTCTCTCTTCAATGCACCCAGGATTTTAAAAATGTAAATCTGGTCATATCACTCTTTATCTTAAAACTTTTCAATGATGCTTAACCCCTTGCTCTCAAAGGGTGAACTCCTTAGCTTGGTTTCAAGGCTTTTTGTGATGGCCGCATCTTACCACTATAGCGTCTTGCTACTCACCCCTCCAACCTCATCTCTCTCTCCCTCCCTCCCTCCTTCCCTCCCTCCCTCT